GATGTTTGCACAAACATATTGGGGAAGAAATATTGGGGGAAACATTTTTTCCCAATATTTTTTCACCAATATGTTGAGGCTTTACTTGAGGGATTCCGGCTTTCGGGCCCTCCGCGAGTAGGGTGTGGGCTAGAGGCTCGGGCCAGAAGAAGACAAAAGCGTTGCTCTGGCGGCTTAGGGTTCGCGTTAATGTTTGTTTTTGAAAATAATATATATATATATATATATATATATATATATAGATTTATGTATATATATATATATATATATAGATTTATGTATATATATATATATAGATTTATGTATATATATATATATATATATATATATATATATAAATAGGGATTTTAGAAGACAACAGCATTGGTTCGGCGACTTAGGGCTCAAGTTTTGTTTTGTTGTGGTGTTATATAGGTGCCAGAATAAGCTATTGATAGTATTTCTGGGAGTTCTATCTTCAAGCACCGGGAAGCCCCAGCCCAAATGTCAGAGCGAGCATAGTAGACTTCTTACCAACGCAGACCTTTGCTAGGATGTTTGGGCGGAGCTCTAGGAGCTTCCCAGGCCAAGCCGCCCTAGATCCTACTGTAACTTAGAACCTGAACCCTACACACGAAAAGCTAAACCCTAAATCCTAAATCCTAAACCCTAAACTGCAGCCTTTTGCTTTGCCAGGGCGCGACTCCGTGCAGCTGATGGGTGCGCTGCAGTTTAGCCAGGCGCGCGCGCCCCCTGCGGACCAGTTCGGCTGCGTTTAGGGCTTCGAGTTTGAGATTTTGGGGAGGTAGGGGTTTAGTGGTTTAGGGTTCCGGGGTTTCCAGGCTTTTGGGTTACCGGCTTGTGAGGGGGTGGGGGGGGGGTAACGGACAACTAGAAAGTGAGGGTTTACGCTTTTGCGGCTCCAACCTTAAACCCTAAACCCTTTGGGGATTCGGGCTAATCTGCCGAGCAGTGGCTGATTACAAGACTTGCTTATCATCATCTCATCTGGAACACGAGTAGCAGCAGTAGAATCGATCATGGATGTCAGCGTCGGAGAGATCTTATCCGAAAGGGGGAGGGTGTGCTCTACCAGCTCAACAAATTCGAGGGGGTAGGTGATGCCAATGACAATTATGTAGTAGTTTCCGAAAATAGGGGGACCCTAATTTGGTACCCTGAATAGTAGGATCCTTAGTGTAAGGACCCCAGAATCCCTTAATTTTCGGAAACTCCCATAAAGGCTCTGAATCTTGAAGCCTGATCACTTAACTAAGCCCTCGGTCTGAAAGCTTAACTCCCGAGTCTTATACGGATTTACAAGGGTTCGATAAGGAAATTACGGATAATACCTGAAGTCATAGTAGGATCCTTGCCATAACTTACGGAAGATACCTTAAGTCATAGTAGGATCCCTACCATAACTTGAAGCAAGGATCCTCGAAAGAGTCGGCCCCTGGTCAGGAATCGGAGCAGCCGAGTGGGCTGAAAGCCCCCTACAACATGCAGGCGCACGAAACCCTAAACCCTAAACCCTAAACCCTAAACCCTAAACCCTAAACCCTAAACCCTAAACCCTAAACCCTAAACCCTAAACCCTAAACCCTAAACCCTAAACCCTAAGACTGGGTTAGGTCTCCTCCCTAAACCCGAAGCCCTAAACCCTAAGGGTTTCTCAGGGCTTTCGGGTTTCTCCGGAGATTCGGCTTGATCCATGTAAAGATTGTGTGCCGTGCCTTCAAAGCTACGTGCATCTACCGAGAACTAAACCCTGGAACCAGACATAAAATCTGATACAGAACCCTGGTAGACAACTTTTCGGCCCAAATCATAGCATCCAATAAGAGCGGCAAGCGCAAGAACCCCTGTATCTTGCCAAGTGTTGTTGAATCCGCATCCAAAGAGTCGAACTTCAAAGATATGCTCTCAACACCCTTCGCCCCAAAGCCGTGAAAAATGCCCTAAACCCCGAACTCAAGGCCCCAAACCCGAAGCATGAGGCACCAGCGGTCCCTAACACCAGGTCTCTTAAGTCCGTCAGCTAACAGCTGGAGTTTGAGAAGCTTGCACTTCCAGTTGTCGATGCACGGAGAGGTTCAGGGCTTTTGGAGTATGGTACAGGGTGCAGAGTGTGGTGCTAGAAGGTTTCCGGGATTTTAGGGTTGAGCTTTAAGCTTTCGTGGTCACTACCCGCCGACAGCTGCTGCGCGCCGAAAGGGTGTCTGAAGCTTCATACCTTAGGTCTACTCCCGGTTTGACTCATCTTCTATGCCATTCTCCGTTGTCTTTTTTTCTGTTGCCCATCTTCTATGTCCACAGAAACCGACAGAAAGCACGCGCACAACCCGTCCGAAACCTTACTAGACCGATACTTCGTGTTGTTGATGCCTTGCCATATGGGGGTTTTCATAGATTAGCGGTATCTTATGTCGGGGTACTTGGCACAGGGATTCCACCAGGGCATGCTTTGACCGTCGGTTTCTGATATGCCCATATGAAACAGCCCCGGAAGCATTGATCAGGCGTGGTCGCAGCTGCGGATGCATCACGCCAGACTCTGAGTGAAAATTGAAGCCTGCAGGATCTGCAGTGAACCTGCACTCATCATGGAGAGGATGTAGCTGTGTTCCAGCATCTTTCTAGCTCTTGATATAGGGGTCTGAAATATGAGGAGTTCACACAATTTCCTTATTCTTCCCATATCGTTAATTGCAGTGTGTTGTACCCCGAAAACCCTTACCCCTACATTACGTCGGTGAAGCTGGCGAGGAGGTTGAAGGAGCAAAACTGAAGATTCATCTCCGCAGCCATTTTGGCTGAGCTCCTGTGCGTCGCCCTGGCTGAACTCCGGTGCGTGCCAATGTCAGGGACTTCTGAACACACCTGTACGACTTCGACCTCATCCAGTCAATCCGTTCGTTTCGAGAGGCTCCAGCAGACATGGCCCGGATCATACTTTGCTCTCTTTCTCGTCAGCGTCACGGCAACAGCTTTGCTCTTTCCCAATTTTGGGAATGTCGGTTGCTTTGATGAAGGACTTCCCAGGCCCAGGCACTTTGTTGTCGTCGGAGTTCCCTTTTTTGCCTTGCAGCTGTCAAGTTTCGGAGCCGGCTGTGCAGCAGCCTTCCTCCTTAAGAGGACGGGAGCTTCGGATCACCCCAGGGCAGCTTGCCTCTATGCCGTCATCAACTGGATACAATCTCTGGTGGTGTCAATGAGCCTGTCTCTCGACGTGCTTCGGTGCAGGTTTGGCGGCTTGCCAGATGATGGTGATTGGCCTGCCATCTTCCTCTGTTGCAGGCTGGTGCTGTGGCTTAGCTCTTCAAGGCCCAACTTTTGAAGCTTTCGACTCTGTGGGTGGTAGATTTCCGGATCCTTCCGAAGTTGTAATTGTCAATTTGGCTTATTGGCACACCTAGGTTCTGGATGTGCTTGTTCATGATTAACGTGCTCATTGGATATCGACTGCAACGTTTGGAGGAAACCTCCCAGGTTTGCTTCGGCTTCCGTTGTCTGGGCTTCCTCCGCTCCGTTGCCTTCGGAGCTCCGGTGATGGGGCATGTGATGGAGTGGCTCATTGATCCAGGCCGTCGGAGCCAAGAGGGAAGCTTCCTACAAGTGGTGTTGGTCTTGGTCCAGACCTCTTGGTGCATCCACATGGTGATCGGTACGCTGGGTATCTGCTCTCTCAGCTATTCCTTCCTGATGTTACGGAAGCTGCGGCGCCTTGCAGGCAGCACCGAGCTTCCTGTCTCTGCGAGGTCGCAATTGAGACGAGCAAGGAGGCTCGTTGCTTTGCAGGTGGCCGGTCTATCCTTTAGCCTCGTGCTCACAACGCTGGCGCTCCCAGCCGCACTTTCAAGTTATTCTGGGCTCTATGCAATTGACTGGCTCTGGGGTTTCGGAGGGGTTTTTGAGACTACTGGTCCTTCATCCATAGCAGTCTTCATTCAAGCCTCGGATCTTTGGGGAATGCGATCGCTGTGCTGCTCCTAGGCCAGTCAGTAGTACCCTTTTGCGGAAAAGGTTTAGGGTTTAGGGCTGCGGTAGAAAGACCTGAACCACAGTAACAACTGATTTCGGCACCGGTAGACCCTTAACCCTAAACCCTCCACCCTAAACCTTAAACCTTGACCGGAGGCCGCAACTCAGAGAACCCCTGAACCCTACACCCTACACCCTGAACCCTTATCTTACCTTGGTTTAGTAGGGAATGGAGGAATGGGGTACAATTATAACTACTATTACTACCATTCTTCCATTCCCTACTAAGCAAAGGTAAGTTATAGGACTATTAAGGCCCCTATATTATAGTACCCTTATAGATCCCTTATAAGGCCCCTTGCATTCCCTACTAACCAAAGGTAAGTTAATAAGGGCTGCAACTCAGAGCCCTGAGGCTCCTGTCCGGCAGCCACAGGTTGCTCGCAGACGCAAAGGGCTGCTGCGTATGTCGGAAGGCGGCTCCGAGGAGGCGGCCCGCAAAAACCGACTCTGGGGAAGTGTTAAGGTTTAGGATTTAGGGTTTAGGGGTTTAGGGTTTAGGGGTTTAGGGTTTAGGATTTAAGGTTTAGGGTTCAGGGTTCGGGTTTAGGGCTCAGGGTTTTTGGTTGAGGGATCCGGGGTCTATAGCAAGTAACATGCAATGCGCCTGACGTCCCCGTCAACAAGAGACCAGGAGCGGAGCCCGGAGTGGACAGCAAAGGTTGCAGAACTCTCCTTGCGGGGCACAACATTGCGCAGCCTGTTGCTCTTCTATCAGGAAGACCTACCTGGCATTTCAGACTGGGAGTATCCTTGGGGTACCTAGAATTGTTTTTTTAATTTGTGGTATTATAGTCCCTAAGAAACAGCTGAAATTTTAATTTTTGCTAGGGTTCTAAGTTCAGTATAGGTATGTATCCACACAGCACAAGACGAGAGACGTTGTCCGCAGGGCAATCATTCCTCTCACCAGCGAAGAGGAATCTGCCTATGCAGCCTCAGCTTTGAACAGGGATGGTGCCCGCCGAGCCGGGATCATGGTCACCCATAACTGGGGAAATTGCTTTAAAGATTTGCTGGCGGCCATCGCCGCGGATGCACTGAAGGAATGCAGTTTTAGCTTGGCGAGAAACCTGCTGGAGGAAGACCCTGCTTTCCTCTGCGAAATCCTGGCCAAAAGCAGCTGCCTCGAGTACACCTATTGGATCTGTGCATTTGCTGTGAACCAGCATGTGAGCATATGCCACAGCAACCCTTATGACCGTGATCCTCTCACCCAGGAGCTACATCCAGTGTGTCATTGCAGTTGCGTGAATATCATTGATCCGGACGGCCGAAGCTCTGCGTCGGAGATCAACAAGTTTGACGACATGATGTGTCACCTGGTCAGAACGGGAGGCTGCAGACAAGTCATTGCAGCCGACCAAGATCTTGACTTGTTTCATCGTGCATGGTGTGTCGCCGAAATTGCAGAAGCCAAGCGTCTGCAAATGGATCAGTCATTGAAGCTAGTTTCGAAAAGGACCATTTTGCAACACTCATGCACTTTGGAGAACTTAGATGTTCGGAGCATGCATGCATCTTCCAGTACGGACAAAGAGCTCATATTCAACAAGATAAAGAACAGCATGGGCATCGACCAGTTCAACAAAGACCTGCAATCGCTGATTCTTGACCCGAAGTCCGGACTATTGGCATCCTGGAATGCCATGGACAGTTGGCAGCAATTTGGAGAAGTTGGCCGGCTAATTCGGTGGGGACTTGCTGATGCAGGCACTGGGAAAGTGTGGAGAGCATGGGAAGCTCAAGAATGATCCTACTTCCCGAGAGGCATGCTTCTTGCTTTTGTCCGAACACCCCAGGCTCGAAGCGGTTCGATCTTAAGTGCTGACATGAGCGGGTGCGCCCCGAGGAAGTACCGACCGATTATGCAGATTTTGTGATATTTTGTGCACCTGTAAAGAACACGCGTGCCAGTTTGTGGTTAGACTGAAGACGCACTCAGCCGCGTCTGTCACCGCTTCTCGCACGGGCAAAAGAATAAAGCGCTTTGCGGACTTTTCCTATTGAATTTTCTGTGCCTCCGTGCAGAAGCATGCTTGCTAACCTCTCTCAACATTGAAGACCCGAAGCTGAACCCTAAACCCTACACCGCGGCCCGTCGCAGGTCGAGGACGTGGCCTTCCTCGGGGGTGGGGCACCCGGGTCGCCCTTTGTGGCGTTCTGAACCCATGAACTCCAAACCTCATAAGCCCCTGCATTCGAACTCGTGGGCTTGTGTCAGGTACTTGGGTTTTCGTAGAAATTTGTCGTTGAGGTTAAAAGTGCTGTTGTGGCTTGTTTGGACATGACTGCAAGAAGAAACAGCTTGTGTTGGCAGGCCTAAACCTTACGCCCTAAACCCCCCCCCCAAAAAAAACAACCCTAAACCCCTACCCCTAAACCCTAAACCAGACGCCATCCTAAGCCCCAAGTCCAAAGCGTGGGGAGGTTACCATCAGCCGACCATCGCCTGCCTCGGACAGGCCCTGGGTGCTGCCTGTTGGTTTCCTGGAGTTTTTAGGCGGTTTTCTTCCTTTTCTCGAGATCGACATGCAGGTTCTTCTGGCCCCTCTTCGTCCCTTTTCAGTTGTGCTATGTTTTGCTCTCTTCTAACTGAAGAGGTCACTGTATACCAGCGAATGACTGGGGGCTTTCTCCAAGATTTTTCATTTCCTAACAACGTGGATGCTTTTTTGGGTCTTGGCTTTAGGCGGCTTTCTGTTTGTAATGTAAACTTCTATATGATGCTCTTCCGTAGGGTTCTACAACAAGAGACGCCAAAACCCTGTTGTAGAAGCTTTGCCTTCAGAGGCCCCAAGACCCTATTGTAGAAGCCTCCACGATTCAGGGCTTTCGAGGGCATTAATATTATTATTATTATTATTATTATTATTGTTATTATTATGATTATTATTATTACTCTTACTCTTACTCTTACTCTTACTCTTACTCTTACTCTTACTATTGCACCAAAGGGGTTCAGGCCGGAGGTTCGACGCAAGTCTCGAGTTCAAAAGCCCTGATCCCTGCACCAGCGCAAGCACGCTTGATGATGGTGATGATGAGGAGGATGACGACCATTCTTGAACTGTTATTCTTAGTACTATCAGTAGTATCTTGATGATCTTGATTATGATTATTGTTGCTATCATAGTCACAGCTGGACTTATTGTTGTAGTGTTGGCTGCATGTACGAGCGGTTGCATGGTTAGGCTTTCGGGGTTTACGGCTTATGTTTAGCCCTTTGGTTCAAGGTTGAGGGTTTAGGGTTTTTTGGGCTGAGGTTTCAAGTACTCCACTAAACCCTAAACCCTAAACCCCTAAACCCTAAACCCTCAACCCCCAACCATAAACCCGATGCTGCGCAGGCGAAACCTAGCTGGGGCGGCTGCATCAGTGAGACCTGCAAGGCTCAAATCATGGTCTCCGGCTTTCGGGGCAGCCGAGGGTTTGGGGGTTCAGGGGTTTGGGGTTTAGGAACTAAGGCTTAGGAGTTCAGGGGTTCAGGGCTTAGGGGTTTAGGGGTGTAGGGTTAGAGGAGTTACTAGTCTTCGAGTTTAGGGGTGGCAGGGCTTGGGTCGCGGGGTTTGGTTTCTTAGAGTTGACGGTCCCTTTAATACACGAACTTGGCACTTGGGGGTTGTGTTGATCGGTGAAGGATGTTCACGTAACTTTCATGCCCGGGTGCTTGATTTTACAGCTGTTTCCACCCTGAACCTGCAAATCAGAAGCCGCCAAACCACAAATCCTATGAAACCCAAAATCTGAACCCCGAGCCCTAAACCCTGAACCCTGAAAGCAAGGAGTGAACTCTGCAGATCAACGTGCCCAGCCAGCCGCGAGTTCGTGTGCCAGAGCTCTGTAAACTGAAAACGGGGCATAGTTCCTGCCTTAACCCCACGTGACCTACCCTTTTAGGGACTTATATAAAGAAATCATATTAGGGGGGCCCAGGTGGGGCATAGGACACGCGTTTGGGAGTCCTCGTATTCACGACCATCGTACTTGCCCCTCATTGTCAAAGACCCCAAAGATGCCCTAGATGCTACAAAAGGGTTTTGAATTTTTGTTATAGTACACTGTAGAGAATCCTTACATAACTATGGCATCATATATCCCAAGCTCTACTCTACCTGTTCGATCAGGCCTCTAGATAGACGTGCTGAGCCTCTGGGATTGATTCGAATCATTTCCTGGAAGAGGCAGAGTCGTCCGTGGTGGTGCTGGTTCTGGACCTTGTCCAGCGGAGCTCACATCTGATCTGGGTCCGGCTCTCAGAAGAGAAGGGCAGAAAAGTGTGGAACAAAGGTCCTGCCCAAGCTGTTCGGGGTCTTGAAGAGTTGCTTAGGCAGTGCACCGCAGGCTGAGGCTGCAAGACTCAGAAAGAGAGGAGGGATTGTAAAATTTAAGGGCAGCTTGGTCAGTCAATGAAATACGGAACTTTTTTCGGTCTATCGTAGGGCCCCTCGGTTTCTCAAAGTCCTTGTGTCTTCAGGTGTCTTCAAGGTTTTGGGACCATGTTAACATGTTGAACATGTTGATAGAAGCCCAAACTCCGAAGTGTTTCAGGTTCGCACGGGACCAGTGCTTACTCACCCATCCCTAAACACTAGACCCAAGATGCCAAATTCAATAAACCCCTACATCCAAGGCTTCCCACGGTCTGGAAGATGACATCTTTCGGATAGTGCCGCTGCCGCCACCGACAAGCGGATCCTTGGAAAGGAAGAGGATTTCGGATTTGAGGCTTAGGCTTGATTAGGGTTTCGGGCTTAGGATTAAGGAGTTAGGGTTTCGGATTTGGGGCTTAAGCTTGACATGCAGTAATGCAGTAGCCCTGCTTTTTGGGGTCGTGCAGACCCCTGCTAAGAGCTTAGTAACAACATGCAGACTTCTCGAAGCTTTGCGTCTGGATCGTGGCATCTTCCTGCTCCCTAAACCCCCTCCTTGCGGAGCCCCCCCCCCCCCAAAAGAAAAAAAACATCAATCCCTAAGCCCGAAACCCTAGACCCCTGACAGTTGAGGTGTGCTGGCGATATCTCAGAATGCGGTGACCTATCTCAAGGCCGGGTTTCGAGGTTCGAGTCGCTTCGAGTTGCTTGAGGTGTGGAGCGTCGTGGCGCACAGATTTCTAGGGTTTAGGGTTTAGGGTTTCGGGATTTCTAGAGTTTAGGGTTTAGGGTTTCGGGATTTCTAGAGTTTAGGGTTTAGGGTTTCGGGTGGGTAAATCAGCTGAAGTCGCAGGCAGGAAGGGTCGCATGGGAGCGCATGGAGAGGGGCTTGGACGGCCAGCTCCGCAAGGGTGGTGCAGCGACGTGATTCCAAAGGGTTTCTTTGGCATGGGCTGGGAGGCAGCCCAGAAAATGGCTTTTACATTCAGGCCACGGCTGCGCGTCGCACAAAACGACGTGCTTCAATGATTTGCGTCATTTAGCCATCACTGCTTCTGTGCCACATCACGACAACCCTAAGCCTTCAGCCCCAGGTCTAAACGTGTTTCACCCTAAACCCCAAAATTCCGAAACCCTAGATCCTGCACCTGAAGCCCTGAAGCCCCAAAGCGCTCAGCACTAGCCCCGACACCGCAAGGAGCACGGGTCCTCCTTCACCCAGGCGGGCAAAGCTGCTTGAAGGATCAGGGGGACGGAGAAAGCAGGGTTATGATGGATAGTCGGGTTTAAGAGGTCTGATACGTTGGTGTTTTTGGAAGGGGTTCAAAAGCAGCGGTGCCTATCACACAGAGAGAGGCGCTGAGACGTATTCCGTGGGTTTAGCCAGTTCGAACTTAGGTTTTGGGGTTGAGGGCGGTTAGGGAAATTTCGCGTCTCCTCAACATCTGAACTACATTGGAAAGCCCAGTCTTGCACGAAGCTCCCATCCCAAAACACTGAAGTCTTTGTGCATCCTCATCCGAACGCACCACCCAATTCCCGAAAAGCTGGACCGCCAAGCGCCAAAGGTTCGGTTTGGGGTTTAGGGAGCTTTTGGGTATCCGGAGCCGACAAACCCTGAACCTCATATCCCAAACATCCGAGCGCACGCGTGCATTGTGAGCAACAAGTCATCGCCATTGCACTCTACGAAGCCTGACTACCTATCCCCAAGCCTACCCTAGCAACATCTCAAATCCACCAGCGAACAATCCTCTGAAGCCCAAGGAAGCCGAAAGCCGAAGCAGCCCTATACCCCTTCATTTGGGAATGCAGTTCAAACCCTGCAGGGCTCCGTAGATTTCATACCTTCCTTTACTAAGGGGTCTTGGGTGGGAGTTAGGATTAAGGGGACCCTTGAGGATAAAGACCCTCCCAATAAGGTCCCTTTTAAGAGAGCCAGAGGTAGGGTTCAGAAGGGCTAAAGGGTAGGGTATCTCAAATCCCTAAACCCAAACCCCTAAACCCTAAACCCCTAAACCCTAAACCTTAAACCCTAAACCCTAAACCCCAAAGCCCTAAACCCTAAACCCTAAAGCCCTAAACCCTAAACCCTAAAGCCCTAAACCCTAAAGCCCTAAACCCTAAACCCTAAACCCCTAAACCCTAAACCCTAAAGCCCTAAACTCTACCTCTTGGGCACTCTGGTGGGAACTGGAGAGGCCCTGAATCTCGCCGGGATGCCTGTCGATCCCGAGGAGAACAGCAGGCCGGAAGTTGGTTTTTAGGGTGTTTAGGGTTTTTAGGGTTTAGGGTTTAGGGGTGTAGGGGTTTAGGGTTTTTAGGGTTTTTAGGGTTTTTAGGGGTTTAGGGGTTTAGGGTTTTAGGGTTTTTAGGGGTTTAGGGGTTTAGTGGTGTAGGGGTTTAGGGTTTAGGGGTTTAGGGTTTAGCTTGTAGCCTGCAGCTATTTCTTGGAGGATGGAGCAAGGGGGTAGCCCTATATGCTCAAACAGTAAATCCGAAGCCCTAATGGTCAGGGGGGCCTAACCCGAAGCCCAAGACTTTGGAGGGTTTGGGGCACTTGAGTTTGCGATTTGGAGGATCAGGGAAGGGGGCTGTTGGCAGTGAGAGTTCAATTTCCTCACGGCCTGTAGCTGTATTGAAAACTTTTCTGACTAAATCACCCGATTTTTTCATCTTGGGGCTGTGGCTGCAGCATGAATTAGGTTTGTAGAGCCTACAGGCTTTATGGTTCAGGCGCAATAGGTTTTGGGCTTCGGTCATTGTCCGTGGTTTTTTCAGAGGATTTTCCTCATCGACAACGGACCTCAACACGGCCGGCACTTTGAGCCGTAATTTCAACGCGCCCTGTCACAAGTCGCAGTTTGGAGCGCATGCCTGTTTTTCGATTTTCGAAAACGCCCAAAAACCCCAAAACCCTCGGCCAAAACCCACCGAAAACCCTAAACCCTACGCACCTAGCCTTGGCAGAGACCCGAACCCCCAAACCCCCTAAACCCATAACCCCAAAACCCCTAAACCCTAAACCCTTAAACCCCTAAACCCTAAACCTTAAACCCTAAACCCAAAACCCCAAAACCCCTAAACCCTAAACCCCTAAACCCTAGACCCCTAAACCCCTAAACCCTAACCCCAAAGCCTCGAAAACCTCCAAGCCCTGTGCTCAGGACCAGAGCCATCCGAAACGAGTCGAAGTTGCTGGTCTTCAGAGTTTTCTTACCTTTGGTTACTGGGGAATGAAAGGGGCCTTATAAGGGATCTATACGGGTACTATAATATAGGGGCCTTAATAATCCTAGAACTTACTAATTAACCAAAGGTAAGCGTTTTCGGGGTGTTTGTGCCGCTGTTTTATTGTTATTCCGGCGTTGAGGGTTAGGTTTGGGGTTCAGATTTAGGGTTTCAGAGTTTCAGGCTTTATGGGTTTGAGGGCCTCTAGGGTGCTGGGGCTTTAAGCATTTCAGAGGCTTCGGTTCTAGGGTTTTAGGGGTTTAGGGTTTAGGCTTTGGCATTTGGGGCTTCGGGTCTGAAGGTTTGGCTCTTGTTCGAATCTTCTTCCTCGAGTTTAGCGCAAGCTCTGTAGTCTAGTATAAGGACCTTCTTAGTTCAGGTTTTCAAGTCTATACTACAGTGAGGTCACATCAAGTCCCATAAAGATACCAGATGTTACACCAGAGTTTCAGAACATGAGGACCCTCATATAGAAGCCTTCAGCTCCCATATGGTAAGCCTGTGCAGTTTCTCAGAGAGCTGAACCTCACTCGCTTACCCGAAATTCTCGATAGGACGAACTTTACCTTTGTACATTGAGGTTTAGGGTTTCAGGTTTAGCGTTTAGGGGTCAGGATTTGGAGCTCTGAATACTTGACTAAACAGTACTGGCAGGTGCTTGAACCTTAAACCCCAACCCATAAACCCTAAACCCTAAAATCCAAACATGGAAACTCTTTCAATGCTCTATATAATTGAATGGGTTTAGGGTGTAGGGCTTATAAGTTGCAAGGTGTTTGGGGTACCTTGCCTACACCCTCATACTTGTGTCCTGGGAGACTTAGGGTCAAATGCAACAACAGCCAACTCGCTCCATGCAAGTGTGGCTCGAACCGCGCCCAGGTGAAGCTGATGGTGAAGCATATGCGAGGCTAAGCCTGCAATCCTAGGTTCCTGAACCCTAGACCCGGAAGATCCGCGAAGGCTTCGCAGGAAGGTGCTGCAATGTTTGAGTCACTGTAAAGGTGTCAGTGTATATGCATATATATATATACACACATGTATGCACGTAAGTATCCGTAGTTGCACCCTTGTCGCCCATGGGCCATTGAAGAGATTGCAGTGGCAGCAGAGCGCTCTCCCACATAGTTGCGAATGACGATGTCCCGGGCAAGTGGGCAGTTCTCTGCATTCCTCGTAGCGTGCCAGCTGCTGAGCCCAGCTTCGACTGAGTCTGGTGTGCGCGTGGATCCTACGACCCAGAGCTTTGTAGACTCCACAGGGCGAAGCGTTCTCTTCCACGGCATCAATGTAGTGGGCAAGAACTCTCGAAGCTGGGTCGCTGTTTAGGAACTTGAGATCAGTTACGAAACAGTGCATTATACAGACAAGAATATTGTTCCCTAGAGCTGTAGACTACCCGGATGTAGTCGAAGTTCCTTAACAACGGCCGAGGGAAGGAGCAGGAGCTCTCAGACAAACAGATGGATGTCATGAAGGACCTGGGCTTCAATGTAGCGCGAGTGGGTTTGAGTTGGGACCTGTACGAGACGAAGCCAGGGATCTTCGACGAGACGTACCTGGACTTTGTGGAAGCGCAGGCAAAGCATCGTGAACAGAAGGGGGCCTTTGGGAAGTTGAGGTCATACCTCACATGTACAACCCTGAATAATTGCGAGTATTGGTCTTGATATTCCTCATACTGTAACACGGAGCCTTGTTCTGACAGTTCATTCTCCCTGGACCTTAAAAAGTTTAAAACCCGCAATCCGAAATCCAGAACCGTTAACCCTTGACGCTGCATCCAACCACAATGACCCTGATCCCTGAGGTGAACGGATTGGGAAGTCGGGGCATTCTGTCCTTCCTGGACATGCACCAGGACCCCGGATTTAGGATTGCATGGTTTAGGATTTAGGGTTTATTGCTTGAGGGTTAACCATACTTGGAGGGTCAGGTGGACTTAGAAAGCAGGTGAGCGACCCCTATAACCCATACTATAACCCTAGTTATCCCCGTTAACACCTACTTGCTAAGTCCAAACCCGAAACCCTAGGCTTTTCCTAAACGCTAGGGTGCTAAGGTGTTAGGTTTTGGTATGCAGAGAGTAGAAGTGAATCGCGGAGGAATTTGATGGTTCCAGCTACCCAGCACTACTGACATTATTGTATTGGGTGTTTGAAGACATTACAGACATTGAGGTGCTTGAGCTTATAAACGTAGGCAAGCTCAGACTGTGAATGTACTTCCACCTTCCAACTAACTTCTATCCGTTTTTTGTGCACTCTACACCCTAAGCAGTGGACCCCGAGTTCGTCCTCTGCAGGACCTTCTGGCCAAACAGTACTGTGGACACGGACTGCCTGAATGGCACATGTGGCCATCGGATTCAGATGACTTCCACAGAAATGGCCGATGGGCATTTCCCAATCCTGTGGCCAAACCGAAATACGGTCCAAATGATGCCCAGCAGCTTAGCAGGGTTCAGGGTTGAGGGTTCAAGGTTCAGGGTACTGGGGCTCAGAATTCGGGACCCAGGGTGGGGGGGGGGTAGCGTTTAGGATGGTTCTGAGTTCAGTAAAGTTTTTTTGTTTTCTTATAATTTTTCTCTGTGCAGTAAGTAACCATCAACTCTTCTGGGAAACCTAAAGCCCAATTTAGGGCTTAGGGTGCGAAGGCCCTAGATCCTGGAGATCTGAGCTATAGTCTTCACCCCCCTACATAACCCCGACCTCCTTTATGACTCTCTTAGGAGTTTAGACAATAGCCCACCTGAGGATACCTACTCAGGGCCATACGGTCGGATCAGCAACTGCGGTGAAGCGGAGTCTGGAAAGATCGGGTGGGCTGGGCTCTACATGACCCGTGCCCTCTCCAACGCAGCCCAGCTACCTGGACAAACCATAGCATCCACACTCCCTATATTATAGTACCCTTATAGATCCCTTATAGTAACCCTTATATAGACCCCTTTAAAGGGTACTGGGGGTACTAGAGGTTTCGGCGAGAGTAGGATTCTTCTGCTCTTTTTGTGGTTCGGTGTTCAGGCCCAGACTCCCCTTACAGGCCAGAAAGTATCATGAGTGTATCTCGTTTGGCACACCCGTCTGGGCTGTTGGGGTGCACTGGGCGACCCTGTTGGAGCTTTCTTCATCGACTTTGAAACTGGGAAGGCGGATTGGGGTTGGGGGGGGGGCGGGTGCTGTGGGGCGTGGCCATGAGCTTGGGGAGCTTCTGCGAGGCCTTTGGATAGGCTCTGCGAGGTTCTGGGTGAATCACACGACCCGGAAATCCCACATCCAGACCTACCCGCCACTACAACATTTATCGGGCTGAGGGTTCAGGGCTTGGACCCTAAACCCTAAACCCCTAAACCCTGCATCCATAACAAAAAGAGGAGCCCTAGACCGCGTCCCGAAGTCCTGAGACCAGCTCTTCAGTGACAGCCTGTGGGCTCAACCTTCTTGAGCCACAGTCTGGTACGGATCCTTTGAGACACAGCAAGCCCCTCCATTAGACCAGCTCAAGGCTCCTCTACAACAATGAGTCAGGGAGGCTCGATGCCTTCGCCGGCTTCTGGCGCAAGGTTGCTCGGAGGTTCCGGAACAATCAGTAACTAGGTATCAATTTGACATCATTTTCCCTTCCGAACCATCGCCATATATATATATATATATATATATATATATTATATGTATATGTATATGTATACACATATGTAGTTATGTGAATACTAGACTAAAACCTGGACTCTTCAATTTGTGATACTTTTGAACTTTCCTCACTAGGTGCGAGTAAGATTGAGCGCGATCCTGCTGTTTCTCACAGTCCCTGAAACCCAGTACCCTTTCAATTGGGATGTTCGGTATGATGGGCTAAATGCAGCACACTTCCCCAAGCGAGTTAGTTCAGGTCAGTGATCTTGGCTAGAACCCAGGTCCCCTACAAAGCCTCAACCGTAAAGCAGTTTCAATGCGCTTTCCCGTTCTTTCAGCCTCTACTAACTACAGTACCGGGAAGTTGGAGCACAACCCAGAATGCCCTTGATTTACCCCAAAACCAGCCGTTCAAGAGCGCCGTAGGTATGTCTTAGCCTACGAGCTCATCAACGAGCCTTGGTTGGGCGATGTCTTTGCAGATCCGTCTCTTCTGGTTCCTTCTCGCGCCGACAAGGTGGGACTTTCTCACAGACGAGTCTCAGGAGCGGTCTCCCCACAATACCCTTCCAAGTGGATGCAGGGGTTATATCGGGGTATATAGAAAAGGGCTTTGGGATTTACGTTTCTCTAAATTTACTTTCAACTTTTGCGGATTAAACAAGAACCCCCCGAACAAGCTAACCTAGAAGAAGGTGGACACAAAGACAGATTGAGTTGCAATTCCCACGGACCCACGAAACCACCCAAGGGCTCCCTGCTTTTGAAAAGTCCCAGGTGATTCTGGAAGCTTTTTATGAACGACTGCACACCGCAATCCGCGAGGAAGATGCCTGTCTTTCCAGACAGTCGCATTTCTGGGTGACAGTTGCAGATGATTTGAAGCAACGAAGCTAAGGAATACACAGCTACAACTGCTAGTATTCCGATAAGGAGTCGAACTAAGCCTTTCTGCATGATACGAAGGCCTATGCCGTGTACCTTGGGAATGTCAGTAAAGTCTGAAACCCGGAACTACATGATCCAACCCTATATGATGTTATATGTCTTTTTATACCCTTATTTCCCCTTATGAACCTTGGTATTCCTGTCTAGCCCCTTTTACATCTTTCTATATCTCCATGAAGCCCTGTACATCACCATGTCTCCTGACACGGGCCCCCGCTACATACTGGACGTCTGAGGACAATGACACGATCATCTTCTTTGAGCCAGCCACGGGAGGCAACACGCTGATTTGTGTTGGGGATTTAGGGGGCCCATGGAGGCTTCGGAGATATGGGTTATATATGGGTGGTTGTCAAAAGTAGGGTCCCTTTTTGGGTCCCGTATAATAATACGGCACCTATTATTTAGGGTACCCAAAAAAGGGACGATATTTTATTTCGACAACCACCCATATGTAATATGCAGGAATATGTGACAATCCAAGAAATCCGATGCCATAATCTGAAACTTACACCTTTGACGAGCTCGAGGAAACATCTTTGACACCACGCACTACGGTTCAGACACTTCTCCTGGTGGGGCTGGGTTCCGAGACAAGGCAGGAGTAAGCAAAAGATTTTATGAGGTATTGCCATTGCGTTAGGTTAAGGGATTAGGGATAGGGGGTTCGGTAGCGCTTAGAGTTTGAGAGGTAAGCGCTTGGGGTAGTTCACTCGGTTCGGGGTATAGAATAACACAGAAATAGGTTTCTCACAGTTATGATCCGGTCACGTGGCTAAGGACACAAGACTGCTTTCAGTTATCACATCTACTGTCCTTGGGTGCAGACAGACATGCCCGGTACATCATCCTCTCGGCTGAAAGAATGGCTCTGTGAGAAATTCAATGGCTGGCAGTTTGGCATCAGGGCATCAGACACTAAGCGGCTGAAGGTGGCAGCTATACTGAGTGAGTTCGGGGCCGTGAATGCAAGCGACCCAGTCATGCGAAGGCTTCGCAACCTCTCCATAGATGCCCATACAGATCTAGGGTTTGGGGTTAGCTAGCTCGACTCCTCCCTGAATGCCATCGGGGTTTAGGTCTGGGATTTTCGGGTGTGGTGATGCGGAGGTTGCTCGACTTCTCGATGAATGCCATGGACACGAATCTACACTCCTGGGCATACTGGTATATGATCCTGGACTGCTTGTTAGGAACCCTCATGATCCAGGACCCATATATCACGGTTTGGTCCCAAAAACCATTCAGATCATGGTATTTGGCCCCAAAGCCCCGTTGTTTGGGCCCTAGGACCCTTAGACGAACTTATGCTAAGTTAGCATAACTATGTATAAGAACCAAAGCCCTAAAACTTGATATGGTTCCATTAAATGGGCGACTTAACACCAGCTCAGGATCACGAACCCTAAACCTCTGAACCCTTAAACCCTAAGCCTAGAGTTTAGTATGGCTCCCATGGTATCGTGGCGTAGATTACGTTCCTTCAGCGCAACTCAGGATCCCAAGGGAGGATGGCAAGAACCCTGAAGCGCCAGTCTTGGCAAGAACCTACGCCAGACGGGTGGCAGGAGGGATCGACTCAGGGGTTCTTAGTAGGTAAGCTTTTAGGTTTTAGGGCTGAGGGTTGAGGGTTTGGTGTTGAGGATTACAGGGTCTAGGGTTTCAGGTTGCAGGGTTTAGGGTTGAGAGAAAAAGATGAGAAGTTAATGTAGGAATTGATCACGAGTACCTTCTCCTCCGAAATCCCACTCCCCGAAAATTTTGGTCACTTCCAAGGCACGGTTAAGGGTTTTGGGGGTTTAGGGTTTAGCGTTTTAGGGATTCTATTTTCCAGTTTCGAAACCCTCAGCAATGCTCAGCAACAGTTTCCATTGTTGTTGAGTTTCTTCACTCGTGCTCACGATCATCAATTTTAAAGGGAGTACTATGCCTACCAGGCTCCATATACTCCTGTTATATTCCTACTATATTCTTGGGGTTCCCGGCTTTGGGTTCCCATTCTATATACTCCATTTAAATCAGCTAGAGGAGTGATCCGGAGCATGAGCTTCGATATGGCCTCTGGCAACTTCACTCTTCGGTATGCAGCGGATCCATCGATAGCAGCACGTACAGAGACGCTCGGCCGGCTTTAGCATGGTGCTTTAGGACGCGAACTTTTGAGAGGCTTCCTCCTTGTCATGTTGGGGAGGCCAAACCTAGCCTTTTGGGAGGTGTGCCCTAAACCCTACACGTAAGCCCAATTACCTGCAGCTTAATAGCATGAAGCTGCAGGCAGTTGGAGTTACAGGTAAAGCCCTCAGCAGCTCAGGATCTTTGCAAGTTGCCAGCACCACTACCCACATGGGCTGGACTACTCTTTGGAGCCTGCAACTGCAGGGAAGGTTCACCAAGATGGCAACCTCATATGGATCGATCATTCAGCAGACCTGCCGCAAAACCTTACGGTGACCGTCCAAGTATGGCAGAAGGCGGCGAAGAGCGGTCACTTGCAGCCGATGCTGCTGACCGTGTAGTAGGAGTCTATCGTCGAATCGTCAACAGGCTACTGCTACGCAGACTTCCCACAGTTTTAATGCAAGGCTTGACTGCACTACAAACGTGCAGAGCCGTCTGCAACAAAAAGCTCCCGGAACGGCGTGCGTCTCCTGTTTTCCTAGCTTGAGGCTTCCGCTCCAAGATTTGTAGGACGGTTCCTCATGTAGCTGCCCTTGGGCATTTACCGCGGTTTAGCACGATAAATGTTGGGAGGGATCATGCCAACATTGGGACTGTTTAAGACAACTGCTGAAGGGTAGAGGGTATGTGTGACATAGGTTTTAAAGGTTTGCCGATTTTGGGGTTTCGGAGTGCTTTGTTGAGGTTTTGTAAGGATGTGAGGACCGCAGAATTTGTGGAAGATGCCGCTTCATGTGCGAAGCCTGCGATTCTTGGAACGAAGGTTGGACATCCTTCTCGCGAACTGTAGCGCGGCCTGGGCCTCAGAGCCTTGTTGTTGCAGGATCCCGGCATTCATTTAGCAAGAAAACAAAGTCCTACATCCTAAACCCTATAAACCCAATCGTTAGAAGCACAGCAACAACCCAAAACCGTACTGCCCTAAACCCTAAACCCTAAACCGAGAGTCAGGCTTGAGCATGTCTGTTATGACAGGCTGAGAGTATCGTAATCTTCTTGCCGGAGCCGTGCCCTTCGGGTGTTCTTTATAGGATAGGCTCGCATCAATTGCTAGACCCGCCGGAGCTGTTGCGAGGAACACCTCCATTCCTGACATGCAGTGTTCTCATGAGCAAGCCCTCACCCCAAGTCCAAACCACAAAACCCCGAACATCGAACGCTATGCACGTTCAGCGAGGGTGTCTGCACATCTCCCTTCCTGACAGCGAGTGCATAGGCAACCATTTACCCCAAATCGAAGCCCAAACCTCAAGCTATGCTCATTGTAAGACTCACTCTACATCGAAGCCTAAACCTCAAGCTATGCTCATTGCAAGACTCACTCTACATCGAAGCCTAAACTTAAACCTCAAGCTATGCTCATTGTAAGACTCACTCTACATCGAAGCCCAAACCTAAACCTGAGCCTGTTCAGGTGGTGCTTTCACCAACAGACCCTTGGACTGCAAACCTAAACCCTAAACCCTAAACCCTAATTCCTAAACCCTAAATGTCAAGTAAGGGACTTGCAAGGGCCTCCGATTCTGGGGGTTTGGGAGTTTAGGAGTTTAGTGTTTAGGGTTTAGGAGTTTAGTGTTTAGGGTTCAGGGTTTAGGAGTTTAGTGTTTAGGGTTTAGGAGTTTAGTGTTTAGGGTTTAGGGTCGCGAGAGGGTTTAACAGGGTAGGGTTGAGGGCCTTGTTTACGGGCTTCAAGTTTGCAGTCTTAGGGCTTTGGGGTGCGACGGTAAGGCGTGAATCATCATGGGTCTTTGTGAGCTGTTGCTGTACCTACTAAAACACCCCAAGTAGGGTACCCACGACTCTTCTAGCTCCCATGATCTTTTAAACAGGGGAACTGGGACTTCCGATGAGTCTTCTAAGGTTCCACAGTTCTTGCTCTGGGAAGCCATGGCAGCGTGACGAACAGCGGGAATCCCCCCAAAATAAATCCAAAGCCCAAAAACTTCGAACCCCAGCACAATCAAGGACACCAAACTGCAAACCGCCGCCAGTCAGGTCGTTCTCTTTTCCATCCACCCTACGGGACGCTCAGAGCTCAGTGTTGACGGGGCCCGGGAAGGAAGCAGATGTAGATCCCTGATGAACGCACCCCTTTCCAAAGCCGGGATAATCATAGGGGATCCCAAAATGCAGGCTCCCTTGGCTTCTTTTGTTTAGCTCAGGGGTCTACGTTGCTAGAGTAAAAGTTATGGGGTTACAGCACGTGTTGTGGGTGTCCCCAGTCCAACTTCTCTAGAGGCCTGAGCCGCTAGAAATTCGGAATCTGAAACCACAAGCCGTCCAGGGTCGGGGGCGGTTGCTTGTTGCTTCGATTTCGAGTTTCGGGTCGGATCTCCCCAGAGCCTTGCCTCGGTTCCTACTGCCGTGGAGGGTCTAGGGAGCACCGGCAAAAATGTGCTGGCCTCTTGATTCTCGAAAGGATGATGGTCTCTTGATTCTCGAAAGGCGTCATATTCCCCCGATCGCCGTCCAGGGACATGGTCTTCTAAGTCTAGGAGCATGCTACTATTATGCGAAGTCTTATCATGTCTTCTCTTCATGACCGTGCTTGCCGTCCTTACCATGGACAACCCCCGCCCCACGCACCAAGAGTTTGGCGCTGCTCTTGACCAGTCCCCCAGAACACCGCCAACATGAAGGAGCATGGACATCGCCATCCCTACACTTCACGACCCTGACGTTGAATCCCAAATCCTAATTCCGAAGGCTCCTAACCGAAGCCCCCCAAGCCATAAACCCCAAGACCCCGATCCAAGCCCCAGATCGTGCACACCGTCTTAGTATTAGAGTCTTAGAACCCTTATGACACATTTCATGAACGCAGAAACTTCTAAGGCTCTTATAAACCATTTGGGGCCGTTTTCTACCACGAGCCCTCCCGCCCCCCCAGGCCTTTACTTGGCCCACCTCGTCCTGACGGGCCGGGACATCGTCACCGACATTGTCTGGACGTCGCCCGGGCAGGCCAGTGTGGGGGCGGCAGATTCAGGTTTAGGATTTAAGGCTGAAAGAGTTTATATAATCAAGGCTAAAGCATGGGAGTTCGTTCTGACGAGAGTTTTCTTGATGCGACGGAGATTACTGTAAGCGATCATGGAAGCTTTCGATGCAAAAGCCCACACCTTAAGCCTCAATGCAGCGCTCAACCTTAAATCCCTGAGCCTACATCCTAGTTCGCCTAGTTCCGCCAAAACCTAAAGCTCTCACGGTTCAAGCCATCCGACTTGGGGTTTGATCGTCCAGGTCTCGGAGATGGGGTGTTTATAGGGACGGCCGCGGGGGTTTCGGGAGTTTAGAGAAGCTCGAACAGTGATCTCTGAAGATTCAGGCGGCACTTGCAGGAGCACTGGCCAAGTTCTTGCTTCGAGTTTAGGTTTAGGTTTCAGGGTTCAGAGTTTGAAACGTGAGGTTACCTTCAGCCCCAAACCCCATGAAGACCTAAACCGTAAGCCCCTAACGTAATCTCTAGAGCCCTAAAGGCTAATGCTTCAGAGTTTGGGTTTGAGGTCCTTTCCTGAAAGGCAATCCTCCGATCCTCCCGGAAGTGGTTATATACATGTATATATACAGATATATATATATATACATATATATATATATGTATATATATATATATATATATGATAAGAGTCGTCTTTCACCGTTTCACCTAATTAATTGCAACCCCAAGAAGGGCCGCGTCGACAGACTCTTAGCCCGAAAGAGCAGAAAAGAGCAGATATATATATATATATATATATGTACATATGTACAGTTACACGAACGAAAATCTATCTATCTATCTATCTATATATACATACATACACACACGTAGATCTATATATCTATCTATTACTTATGTAGCAGTTGCAGCCCACAACTCCACAAAGCAGGGTTTAGGGCTTCAGGCGTTCCGTTTAGGATATTGCATCTTCGGACTTCGGTCCTATCTTCCGAAACCCTTGCTTATGTCTCGGTGGCTTGTTGCGGCTCTTAATCCCGAAACCTTCAACCCTAGTCCGTATCCCCAAATCCTGAACCTAAAACCCTTAACTCACTTTACTCTAGACCCTAAAGCATAGTCCTCAACCCCAAACCCTAAACCCCTAAACCCTAAACCCTAAACCCCTAAACCCTAAACCCTAAACTCCTAAACCCTAAACCCTTAAACCCTAAACCCTAAACCAAAGCCCGAACCCTTAAGCCCTAAACCCTCGAAGCCAACCGTACCGGCCAGCACTCACCGGCGTGGGAGCTGCGAAACTGTGGTGCGAGACTCAGGATGCAGGGTTAGGGTGGGTTTAGGGGTTTAGGGGTTTAGGGGTTTAGGGGTTTAGGGGTTTAGGGGTGTAGGGGTTTAGGGTTTTAGGGGTTTAGGGGTTTAGGAGTTTAGGGGTTCAGGGTTTAGGGTTGTAGGGTTTTAGGGGTTTAGGGGTTTAGGAGTTTAGGGGTTTAGGGGTTTAAGGGTTTTAGGGTTTAGGGTTTTAGGGTTTAGGGTCTAGGGTTTCGGGTTTAGGGATGAGAGTTTGGGGGATTGGGGTTCAGGATTTAGAAAGTTTAGGGATTGGGGTTTAGGGTTTCTGGTTTGGGGTTTCATCGAAGCTACTACAAGTGAGGCTTCAAAGCCGGCCCAATACCGTAAAGCCGAATCCCGCTCCCCTCCCTTGACGCGACGCATCGTCTAGCCCAAATCCAAATGCTGAAAACATCCGACAACCATAGACGCCCTAAAGACCTTAAGCGGCCCAAGCGAGACATGCGACCCCCCAAACCCACCACCCCCGTGAGACCGACCCTCAGGGGAGGACTATGTATGTCTCGTCGACATGGTCGGATCCATCAGCGTGCTCAAGGTGGCGAGGGGACTGGGGATGGTTTGTAGTACACAGGGTTGAGGATTTTTGGCTTTAGGCTTGTGCTGGTTTCTCGAACATGGTTTGGACTTTGGGTTCTGGGGGGGCGGTGACTCATGGGTTTGGGTACTTTTGACGGGAGCCTCGGGTTCAGGCTGACTTTAGACGGTTTCGAGTTTAGCGTTGTGGGTTAAACGACATCGGGAGGGAGGCAGATCGGGGTTGGGATCCAGAGCAGAAGTCTGTGAAACAATCGAGTTTCTATTTCAAGTGCATCCTTATGCGGGTCTGGCTGTTTCAGTATGCCCTGCCTGGAGGAATTTGGGCAGGCTTGGTGGGTTTGGAATCTACCTTAAAGCTCATGCCTCTAACCTTTCCCGCCCACTCCGACACGCATGACGCATGGCTTGCCAGGCGACGGTCTCAAAGAAGAAGCTGCCCAGTATGCTGCACCTGTCCCGACACTAAAGTTTAGGGTTCAGGGGCTTTATGGGTTTAGGATATGG